GACCAATCAAAATAATAATAAAACATGTAATCCAGTTATAATCTGGACAGCCAGAGTCCATATTTCCCTTTGTTCTCAGCCCCTTTCATAACGTCGCTTTAATTTGCATGACTTTAGCCTTTCTCAGTCATAGTGTGGAGGATTCTTTCAAACAGAAACTATTTTCTCATTAAGTTTGAACAGCTACACCTCCTCAGACGTCTAGCTGTGGTTTCTTTTGTTCAATGGGTTGTAGCATTTTGACTGGAGGGTTTTGGATGAAATACATCAAACACCAAACAAAGGCATTAATTGGTCATTTAAAATAAAAAAAGAAGCCAAGCTCCGACAAAGCGTGGGGATTTTAGAAAGCGGCAGAGTGTGTTTAACAAACACAGGCCGACACACTGTGACACTTTGAGTCCACAGAGACCTCCGTCTACCCGTAGAGGTGAGGACTGAAGGCTGACCCAGGCAGCCGGAGACGTGTGTGTTGCTGTGTTGATTGCTGGAGGTTCAGCTTACAGACACTCCAGGAGGCTCGCTGGCTTTTCGCCTCTTCCTCTGTAATTGGTTGATTTGCAATGCAGTCGAAGATTTCTCGGATTTCTTGACACAAGACACACTAATCATAAAAACACACACACCGATGCAAAAACAACTCGGTAATATAAACAAATAAAACACACACACACAGAGCAGAGAAGGCCTGATTCCTCTTCCCAGCCGCTGCACCTCCAACCAGCTTTCATTAATACATACTCGACTGACAGCTCGCCTGTTGCCATGACGACCCCCAACCTGTTGCCAAAGGGAGCTGGTAGCTTTAGGAGCCTGGAACGCAGCTTGAAACTATTGTAGTTCCTCTTTTGCCGTCTACCCTCCCCCCCTCCGCTCATGTTGGCGAGCTGCAAGCTCACAATTACCCACTTCGGAGCAGAGAGCAGATTCATTCATTTCACCGCGGTCTAATCTGGATCACTTCAGTCGCAAAGCAAAGCCCCACCACGGAGCTAAATTCTCTCCACCAGTAAAATAGGCATTCTTCATTACGCCACTATTCTAAGACGAGCCTGCTCCATGGTATTTATTCTAGGAAGATCTGATGAAACCAACTCCAGGAAATTGCTCTCCCTAATTCATCATTCCCGTGCCGCTTCGTTCTAATTAAAATCACTGCCCATTCTATTCCCAGCATCTGATTCTTCTTTCACTTACTATTCTAATTTATTATACTCCTGATAGTCTTGATAACAGTTTCCTACATTGCTCACTAGGTTTATTTGGGCCAAATAGTATCAGTTCGACAGTTGACATTTGTGGAAAAAAGCCAATAAGCCAGAAAAATGTAGTAAAGAGTCACCTCATAAGATTCTATACAGATTTCAGCAGAAAAGATATCCTCCATGAAGTCCATATTAGGTACACCTGTTTAGATGCATGTCACTTTGTGTTGCGAAAGAGGCAGTCAAAGAGCGATA